GAGTTTTTGATCTTGGTCGTTATCTAAACACCGGAGCGTTTCTGAACTAAACTGATATAGTGGGTGAATGTGTTCCACCTAGGATAAAAAGGAGCTAACTTTGAGCTTAATCGGAAATTTGGCCATATCGGGTGAAGTTTGGATTTTACAGACATTGAATTTTAAAATAAACTCGGATGTCGAGCTAGTAGGCAACCGACCAAACGTACGTCGTGTTATACCACCTTTTATTGTAACAAACTTGTCCATCATTGGCTGCATCCATGTACTCCTTGTGCCAGACCACGAGTTCTCAGTTGACTGTGGGTTGAAGCGCGGCTGCAAAAACTGCTCCCAGGCAGGATTCGAACCAGTTACCTCTCGTATCTCAATCATGGTCTTCGACCAACCCACTTTGCCTTCCTGGTAATGCAGCTAATGGGGTTTCTTTGCACTTGTGCCAGTGGTTGTGAAACTTGTCCACTCACCCCCACCGTTAGGCGCCTCATCTGCCGCTAGGGTATACCGGGTGTTAGCAGCCATCGTGAATTCCCTCCTGGAACGGACACGATAATTTACTTTTCACTCACTTACTTGTCCATCATCGTTACATCAACATGAAGTTTAGGAGGGCGATGGTTTTCGGTTTGTGACAGTTCGTCTTCTCTTGGCTTCCAGTCTTTATATATTTTTACATACCGTTAAGCTTCCAAATTTGGGTGGTCTATTGCCTTTTGTTTTTGAGTTGTAGATCGACCGGTTTGCCCAATTGTCAGTCTTACTTGTCTAGTCATCATCATCCCGTAATGTTCGATGTTCTTGGTTGACGGGGAACAGAGCTCCTTCGCACCTTCCTTGCGCAACCCTTCCCCTCATTGGAACTTTCAGTACCTGAGCCTTCCAAGTTGGATTTTTTTGGTTTTTCGCTTCGTAGATGTGTTGGAACTAGGTTTCAGGTTGTTGAATGTTTCAATTCAATATTCTTGCCAGTTTTTTGCAGTCTTCTTGCACTATCTTATCTTATTCTTTTTTTACCTTGGTGGACTGTAAGTCATAACTAGTAACTTCTAGTTCCTTTTTCTCTTTGCATACTATATTTTATTGTTGTTTTTAATATTTTTGTAGGGCATACTCAACAAACACTAGTTAGGTCTTCTTCCAGAGTGCCCAATATCAATATGAACCGATTTTCTAACGACATGCATCAAATGTTTAACCGCTCGGGCTCTGGATGTCATGTGGTATTCTAGGTCTGACAAGTTTGTTTCTGCTTTGGATGAGCATGCTCAAAACCGAAACTATCCATCCGAATCTAAAAGATCCACAACATTATTCATGAAGTTTCAAAATTCAGCACCTCGTCGCCAGTGAGCCCCACCGACGGACACGGATCAGCGTACTGTGTTTACACAAGCACACGCCGAGGCTAAAGCCAGTATCGCGTCGCCTTAGGGCCGAGTACTACAAGAATATCCTTCTATGAGACGAGGCAAATGCCCGCCTTGGTTAGAAAACATTATACCAGCTCAAAGGCCGGAAAGAGACTTCCACTCCACCCTCTGTAAGCGTTTTAAAACTAAGCGAGTAGTCCAGTCGAATAGCCTACGATCCAAACAGACTTGTCCGGCTATCCTTACCGTATGGACCGTCACAGCGGGATCCCCTGTAAGAATTCCAGGCCACGGGATTTTGCGGAGGTCGTCTCGTTCCTTGTAAGATTCGTTGCTTTTAAAGCTGCGTGCAGCGACAGTATTCCGGCATTCATTTCGAAGCATTGTGCTGCAATGCTAGTCCCGTCGCTACACATATTAACTTACAATTCATCCTTTTCGTCTGGTATCGTTCTCCTCTCCCTGAAGATAGCAAATGTTAAACCCTTAAGTCTGGTGACAAAACACGCATCTCGTAAATAACATCCTATACCTTTGTTGCCAATAGTATTGAAGATCTTGCGAAAGATTGTTCACAAACGCCTGTGTGACTTCACATCTACCAAATCATGTCTGGCCACCAATCAGCTGTCGTGTCAGCCACGGCACTGGTCCGGAGATGTCTTGACCTTGGCTATGGACTGCTACCTGTGGTCAGCAGACCACAAGCTGCATACTGACGCAGTACTAGCGGACATGAACAAGGAACTCGTTAAAGTACACCACCAGCTCATGATCCCATATTTGTTTGTCTTGGTTGTACATGTACCTTCAACTGCCCTACATTGGCTTGCGAGCTACGTCACGGACATTCAACTGAGTAGTTATGGAGAGTGGGCAGCCCTCGGGTATGACTGCGTAGCAGTGCTGATTCCCTCGGCCCAGTGTCCTGGGTCCTTTAATGTTTTCACTAGATACCATGGATGTCCATAGCGTCACCTGACCAGCACACTCCCACATGTTTGCGGATGACACTCTTAACAACGCCGCAAGCATATCCGTTGAAAACACGAAAAGGACCTGTTACTTGTTGTACCAAACTTGGCTGACTAACTAAACGGGAAAGGCCTCGTTTAATACCTCAACAAGACGCAGGTCTGAGCCATCGAGGCGTCCTACCGCAGTAACCTGGAACTCAACGTATACTGCAACGACACGTCCCTCACCGAAACTATTGCTTCTTGCGGGCATATAATATATCAATTGCTAGCTTAGGTGGGGCACGGAGATCTCCAGCATTGTGCAAAACCCACCCAGAAGCTAACCGCACTAAGAACCATCCGTCCATCTCTATCTGACCACGAGTCCCTCCTCATTGTCTGCCCTTATACCTCCTGACATGCTCCATGGATCAAATGCGTTATTCTCTTAACTCAAGCCTTAGCAGCGACAACACCTCACTGTCCTCCACAAGTGATGTGTTCGCTGCGTAGCCAATCTGTCCTTCCCGTCCCCTTTCACTCCTTCAATTCACTCGCCGCTCAAGGACCCCTGTACTTGAACGTTTCAAATGAAAACTCCTTTTCCTTATGCACAGTGTGCACACCAGCAGAGTGCATATTCCTCTAAATACCAGAGCAGCCGTCCAACCACCCAGTACACCAGTGGCAATGACAATTGCCTATACGATGTGCCACTAACGCGGGGAACATCTGGCGACTGTCGACCATAGGTTTCCGTCGCGAAGGTTTGGAAGACCTTGGTACAGCAACTTACTCCCACTCGTCGCTCGACCTCACTTCAACAATGACTGAAAGGGTTCTACTATGGTTCATCTAGATTACCTCCTTCTGGCATTGGTCCTCATTTTCCCATTTAATTCTAATAATACAATTAGATAAGAACTTGCAAAGAGAAAAGGATCTATAAGTTACCAGTTAATTCTAACAGTCCATCAAGGTAACGAGATAATATACAGTCGGATAGTAACTCATAGTTCCTTCTGTCGGTACATATTACTATTGGCACAACATCCGAGTTTGGTTTGGCTTGTATGTACCATGTTATCCTTTTATGAAATTCCAAGTTTCTTGAAAACATCTCGTGCTTTATCGACACACTTTTCATCGTTTATACTATTGCCATCAGTGCATCATTGCTCGCTTGTTTTGCGAGGTAAAATAAGACTTCAAACAAGCAAGAAATCAAACAAATGTGAGTACAATGTGCTTCTGTGTGTGTGTATGTGTGCAGTTGTAGTATTAGTATTTATCATTTTACTAGGGAAATCCCCACAGACTGTGAGTCCTTTTACAGGGTACCCTAGGTAAGTGCGTGAAATAGAGATGAATGAAGAAAGCCGTGAGACAGTGAAATAGAGTAAAGAAAAAAGAAAACGGTTGCTGCATACTATGCCATTCTGGGTTGCAAAAGAGGCTGCGAAGGGTACTGTTGAACATTGCAAAGGAGGCTGCCTGGCGCATGCTGCTGGAAGCGAATTCCAACTGTAAGCAGCCAGGTAGGGCAAAGCATAGAAACCGGACCGTGACGAAGCATTAGGCAGGGCTAAAGCCTGGACTGTTCCCTGGTCAAGGCATTGGTATGGTTGCTATTTGATCTAAGTGCAAAAAGCTCGGCAAGTAGAGGGCTGCGGCGGCCATGCACACAGTTATAGACAAGGTAAAATATATTTACTTGTAAGTTATAACGGATGGCGACAGGAATGATTTTGTGGCGGTGACAAATGTTGGGTGGCATGGCCGGTAGCCAAATGTTAACCTGAGGCCACGCTTGAAGCATCGAATGAGTGTGTTGTATAGGGTTGCTGATTTCGTGTGAACGTAGCAGTTGCTAACGTACTCCATTGTGGATTGGATAATCCTTAGGTAAGAGGAACGTTGTGCCTGGGTGGTGATGTGATGTGGTATTTTGCGGAATGCGGCCAGCTTACGGTTGACGTCAGCAACAACTTTCCCGGCCTGCTCCTTGGAGGCAAGGTGCTGGTCGACTAGCACTCCAAGGTAACGGGCACACTGGGAAGGGGATACGTTGTATTTCTCGCCGGCCGAGCGCAGCGAGATAGTCGAGAAATGATTTCTCGCGAAATATTTTCAGTTGCAAATATGGCATCTGGTGTGTTCTTTATTGTCGCTTCTTTTCCTGACTTCTTCAGTCAGTTTCGAGTCTCACCAGTGTTGCTGCCCTCCCACCCTGCATTTCTGTGCATATTATCATGGCTTTATTACCCTCTTTTGACATAATGTGCTTGCCATGCCTACATGATGCCTAATCGCCATTGGGGATACACACCCGGTTTTTTCCATCACAACTGCGTCCGTTGGCGCGAGGGGTTTTTCCCGGCTGGCTCGGTCCAGGAAAATTAATCTGACGGTCCCAAGTGGTTCTGCATTATGGCCTAGTTCGGCTATCCACTGGCACGCCTATTCTATCTGAGGCACTCTGTTGTCAGTCCTGTCTTCCATACCTCACTCGTTATCCGGTTCACATCTGGCTGCGGCCAACTACACTGCCCTTTGTCTGTTGTAGCAATGTGCCTGTATTTGTGTACGCATGTGTGCGTTTTATCCTCTCGTGGATACATGTGTACCGGTATGGGCGCGCGACAATTATAATCGATTCATGATCATTCAGATATTGACGAGTGCACAAACGGCACGCACAACTGCAACAACTTGATCAATTATGACAACAGACAATGTCTGAATGTGAACGGTTCCTACATTTGTCCCTGTCTTCGTGGATATGATGGTTCAGAATGTGAAGGTGAGCAATTTCTGAAGTTATAATGTATTACCCATTCATGTACACAGTCTGTATTTACATTCACCACCACCAGTTCGCTCTTTGTCCGGCACATACAGTGCCTTGTCCACAACAGCAACCAGAGGGAAACTTCAACGTTCGAAGGAACCTCTTGTTGCCGCTGTGGTCAAGTGAGTTTACGCATTTGGTCGGCCACAGAGGGAGATGATGCTGGTGAATTTCAACGCAGAACCTTTCCGATTGCTGCTGCTTATCCTCTGATGATCTTCACATTAATGACGCAATGTTTAATATAGGATGCGGAAGGTTGGGGGGTCATCTTCACATTAATAACTCAATGTTTAATATAGGATGCGGAAAACTTGGCTTCTAAATAGAGAAACCGAGTCTCACGGCAAACCGTGAATTTTTTTAAAAATATAAGAAGTAAGTTGATAATGTAAAGTGAACATAGCTCCCGTCATGGTCACTTTTAAAACTGCATATTCCTACGTATACCAACAAGAAATAGGTGATCTTAAATATCCAACTTGGCTGCATGCGTTGCATTTTCATTATAATGTCCGAAAATACAATGAATGCTGCATGTGCTGTGTCCGTGTATTTTTTTGGTATTCTACACAACCGTCCTTATCTACAGTCTCTGTAGTGTGTTAGAAACGAGTGTCGTCATGGGACCCTTTGACCTAAACTCAAGATCATGAGCGTCATAGCTCGATGGATGCACCGAAGTTAGTTTCAGAAAAAAGAAAAAATATTGCTCCACGTAGGTTGCTCGGCAAGGAAACCACTATTTAAAAGAATATTATTCAAATGAATACCTAAGAAGTGTGGATGCGTGCGTGTGTGGGTGTGGATGTGGGGGGGTGTTTGTATTTGTTTGTATGTCTGAACGTGTATGTTTTGTGCATGTGGATGCACACTCACCGGAATATGTGTGCAACAATTTTAATCTATTCATGGATATGGAGACATTGACGAGTGTACAAGAGGCACACACAATTGCAACACCATGACCAATTATGAAAACAGACATTGTCTGAATCAGGAAGGATCCTACATCTGTCCCTGTCTTCCTGGATATGCTGGTTCAGCATGTGATGGTGAGTGATTTCTAAAATTGAAATGTTTGATCACATGCATAACGAAAAAAAGTTCTTCCTAGTTGAACTCGGATAGCGAGCCAATTCTATTAATGGATAAAAAAGAAAGAAACGAAAATGGTACCAGTTATTGCTAACTGACGGACAGTACCACTTGTCAGTTTTTTTCCCATTTTGCCGCCCTCGCCAACTGTATATGATAATATTATGGTTACGTTTGGTGACCAGTTAATCATCACTCGTACCGTTTAGTCCTCCTATTTTTGTCCTTCATAGTACGAGGGAAATAGACGAATGGGAATAAACTTGCTTCCTGGTCTGCTGTTCTAACTTCATACTTCTACTTTCATTGTGGACAGAAACGAGAGCTAGATGATGTTGCGATTTTCATCTTCTGGCACATCACTCAAATGGGCCAAAAATCACAAGTCCGTGGACATTTCCGGGTGTAACTCAGCACTAGAACATTGGATTCAGTTCAAATTTTCAGGGTGGCTCCCTGGTGGTCCAGGGAGGAGATTGACAGCATTAGTAGGCACATACGTGAATACGTTCCAATCTTTCATGTAAATTCAAAAATGGAAATTAGCGATCTTGCGATGTTTGACAAATTTTCGGCAGAATGTACTGAAAACAGTTGTGAATAATGATATTTTTCAAATTACAGACTCTATGCAGTTATGTTGAGGTGCCGAACCTCCTATATTTGACAGAAGGAAACAAAGAAGCAGACTACAATCAGACCAAAGTTTTGTTTCCGGCCGTAAGAAAACGATCATAATGTTTGAAGACATCAAATGCATTTTCTGCTTCTTTCTTCACAAGAAATGAGAGGGTCGGCACCTGGGAAATTTAAAGCAGATGTGACTACATATGAGGTTTGCTTTTCTAGCATGAATAGCACTAAAGTTATGCGGGAAATACTTTCGCCATGTCCTAGAAAAATCTAAAAAGCTATGTATGTTGGGCCATCTAAAATCCACCCGCAGTGTACATTACACCCTCTCGCTCAGCAGCTGCATTACCAAACCCCTTCTTTTGGGCTCGTCGACGCTTCCTTACATCTTGCTCACTTGAGGATGACTTTCTGGCCTTGTGGTACTGCTTCTTGCGGTCGAGACCCTGCAGTGCACTACTTGTGAGGGTGCCCGAGCTGCATGCCATTTCGGCCAATATGGCTTCCAGTTGTTCGTATCCATCATTGAAGATGATGACAGCCAAATACACAGCTGTTTCAACCACCTTGGCGCTGCAGAATAGCTCCTTTGGGCAGATCTGCCAGATGAGTCTGTTGATCGATTCATTGGCGTTCTGGGTGGCACCACGTGTACAACGCTCCAACAAACTTCGCTCGGCCAGACGTACGTAAATAGGTTTCACGGCATCACGGATTGCGGGTGACAGACTCTTGGGGTGGCTGTAGGCATTCTGCCATCCATACCAGGAAGTGGAGCCAACAGGACAAAAGTCATGCTTGGGCATCTGGTGAGTGGAGAAGGTAAGACAAAATGATGCCCATATCGCCCGTGCCATAACTGTCACTGACCATGAATTCCCCCCGTATGGCCATGCCGCAATAGATCTGCATGGAGTTGATCAGCGCATCAGTCAACCTTCCTCTGCCACCAATACTCTTCCCATCAGACAACTTCTGGGAGCCGAGACGGGACTTCAGGTCACGCAGGTTTCTGCCGACACGCTTCTGGACATGGCCGACGCATTCTTCCTTCTTGATCTCCGTGTCGCCATTCACCTTTATCTCCTGGACAGCTCTGTGGCCCTTGCTGTCGCCGTCACCACTGTTCGTAGTGTACCTGAGGTTGTGCTTCTCCACAGATCTGCTCCATATCTTCTTCACTGCTTCAGTCTCCATGCTGGGTGAGGATACAGTAGTGTTGGCCAGGAAAGTTTCCTTGTGCCCCGCAAGCCACTCGTCATACTTGGCTGCCGAAACAGTGCCATTCTTCTTCTTCACTGACCATTGTGTGCAGGCTGAGCAGTGCCGAGACAAAATCTCAACATCCACAACTTTGTGGACCGTCGCAGGCAATCGAAGTCTGGACACCATAGAGCGAGCTGAATCCCCTCTTCATCCAGGTACCATCTGTTGTGACTGCGATGTCTACCGGCTCCCCTTTAGACTCGACACTTCTCAGTGCGTCGGCAACTGTGGCCATGCTGCGGTTGGCTACTTTCTTTGCTGCTGCATGGAGTGCATCCCTATGTTTCAGGAAAGCACTGCTGGCTACAGGAGGTGGAATGTCAAGGATTGCACAGATCTTGCACAGGGCTTCCCGCGATCTACCAATAAGACGCATGGCAAGCACGCTCTTTCTGTTGACCTCACAGAATTTCTTCCCCACAGGTGTCTCTGCCATTCGAGAAGTTGTCTCAGCTCCACAGTCATCACAGGACAAAGTCAAAGTCGTGGCTAGGCCAGATCTGCCTGACTCCACGATCTGCCTGACTCCACGAGCTCAGTTTGCGTTGCAAACTGAGCACACACAGCTATCAGCGACCAGGGCTTGCAGTGATGGCAAATGGATTATTCGATTTCCTTGTGAGCAATGATCATCAGGCTGCTCCACATCATCTCCATCCTCATCAAACCCGTCTGCAGCACAGATAGCATCCGAATCACCACCTTCATCATCATTATCGTCCTCATCATCGGAAACGGTCTCCAGTAGAAGTGGTGGAACGTCTTCAGGTAAACTGCGATCGCTCTCAGATTCAGAGTCACTCGATGGAATTTGGTTATTCAAAGCAGGTGGAGCAGCGAATTGATTTCCCTTGAAAGCTCGCTTTCTGCCCTTGTAACGACGACTGCCCTTTCTCTTGTTGCCCATTGTCTCTCTATGAAGTTATCGACAATGCTACAAAAACCAGCTGACAGTTCTAGACGTCCTGTCGTTCTAAAACTACAAGAAGGCCAACCGTCGTCCTCAACTTTCGAAAAATAGTGAAAATCGTGATTTTGGAGAAAAAGAGCAGCGCGTGGAACATCTGGTTTTGTAACCGAGGCAGTCAAAGCAATGTGTCTTTCTCCGCAGACGGTGCGAATTTGAGCGAAATCCAGCACTGTTTTGATGTTTCATCATAATTTCCTAAAATTTGATGTTTTTCAAATTTTGGTATTCAATAACAATTGCATAGCGCAACTTCAATGATCCATAACTTCGGATTGGTGCAACCGATTGACCTCAAAATCCACTTCGGGGAGATAAGGATTTTTTAGCATTTTTGGGTGATGTGCCACCTTAAATTAATCATCACTCGTACCGTTTAGTCCTCCTACTTTTTGTCCTTCATAGTAGGAGGGAAATAGACGAATGGGAATAAACTTGCTTCCTGGTCTGCTGTTCTAACTTCATACGTCCACTTTCATTGTGGACAGAAACGAGAGCTAGATGATTTTGTGATTTTCATCTTCGTTTCTACTGTAATAGCCATATAACAAAGTGCTAAGTGGAACGAGTTAACCTTAATTTGGCCAACACCAGAAATCATTCAATTGTGAGAACTTTTTTTGGTTATCTTGGACTGTATTGAACCAATTAAGAATGTCTATAAGTTTGATCTAAATATGACAAGGCGTTATGGAAATATGTATATGTTCCCAAAAGGGAACGTTGGCCGGATCGGGTACCAAAATCACCCTGATTTTTATGCGAGGTTGATACGGCAGATTAAAATGAATTATTTTGCTGCGAAAGCTTTTGTGGAGCAATGCAAACATAAAACAATAGTTGTGAAGATATAAATCATGAGATTGTCTTCACGGAGTGCCCATAGATGCTACTTGGCGGATCAGGGCTGCGGATCTCGACCTAGCGTGTGTGACACAACTCGTTGCAGTTGGCACCATGATCGAAATGCAGCCGAACACCACACTTGGAGCATTTGCATCTCGTGTTTCGCTTGCAAACCTTACAACGACCTTGGGTTGTCGACTCTCTTGTGTGTCCGACGCCATCATATCTCACATCCACCGGAAGTCCGGATACTCGTGGTTCTGGGCGAAGGTCGGTTTTCAACAAACTGACGGTGATCTCACGACGAAACTCGATGTGGGACATAGGCTTCTCGTGAACCTTGCAGTGCAGACGCCAAGCAGCTACAACGGTCGCATTCAGGTGGTTGACAAATAATGCCCAGTACCACTTCTTGCCGGAGATGCGTGGGCGATAAGAACCCAGGAGCCGATCGAAAAGATCCACACCGCCCATTCCCTTGTTATAGAGTTGGATGAGATGTGGCTGGGTGACAGTGGTGTTAGACACATTCTTCACCCTCCTTTTCACAGTGGCAAGGGGCTCGTGTGTGGCATAGTTGCTGGCGGCATTCACGACAGAATTGTCATTCCACTTGCAGATGAACACGGTTCCGTTGCAGCGGTAATCAAATGTGCCTCGGGCCTTCTTCTTGAGCTCTTTTGTTGAGACCAAACGCTGGTTAGCACCTCCAGTGCGGTTGTCCCGAACAGTACCGACTGCACGCATGTTTTTCTCGGCCAGGATTTCCAAAAGGCTGTAGCTGGTGAAGAAATTGTCGAAGAATAATTCGATGAATTAACAGGTGTCGGAGTGGACTCGAATTACATCGACCATGTCGCCAACCTCTCTCAGGCCCAGTGGACTCACTGGCCTGCCTTCCTGGCGACCGGTGTAAATTTGCAAGTGGTACGGGAATCCATCACTTCCACACAAACACCAAATTTTGTAGCCGAACCGGATGGGCTTCCCCTTTATGAACATCTTCGCACTGTGTTTGCCAAAATATGGGACCATCGACTCGTCGATACTCAGCAGAGGATGGAAGATGTTCCACTTTACCAGCTGCTCGTTGAGGCTGTCATATAGCGGAGCCACCTTTGCCACTTTATTTCCTTCTTGTAGAGCTTGGTTGTCCACAAAGTGAAGGTATTGTTTGATTGATCGGAATCGGTTACGGCTCATCGCTGTTTGTACAAGTGGTACTCCGAGGTCTGGTTGCGTTGA